TTCCTTCATTCATCGGCCGACTCGGCGCTGTCGCTGCTGCCCCCCAAGTCTTCGTCGCCGCTCTCAAAGACACAACCATCTTCGGTGCCATCCAAGCAAGTGCTGATGGCGCACTTTTTGAAGCTCTTGCGCACCATGTCGGCCGGAATCACCCCCCACGCATCGACGATCCACTGGCACAGCAGCGCAATGTCTAGCCTCCGGACGCATCCAGTCGGTGTCAGGGCATAACAGCAGTCGGCCATCAACTTGGCATAAAGCAGCTGCTTCCCGTGCGCTTTGAATGGCTTATTGAGGCACACGTCCAGTGGCTGTAGCATGGAAATCATGCCACTGGGTATGATCACGAGGTCGGTGCGGTGGTCAGCGAGGTGCATTTTCACTGGATCAGTGCAGTGGCCTCGAAACGAGTCCGACACCAGCATCGACCGCTGAGCCAACATGGCCCCCGGCCTCTTCTCCCAGATCGTGCGAAAGCAGTCACAAACGAGGTCACCATTCATCCACGCGTAATCTTCAGTTCGCACAACAATCCCTGGTGGCAGTGGAGTGCTGGGTAGCGTCTTGCGCTAGAAGAGTACGTACAAGCGCAGCTTGGTACCGTCCGCCAAAGCGCACAACATTACTGTGCAGCGCAGTTTTCTGTTTCTGCCCGTCAGTACGCTTACAGATGCTCATGGGCATCTCGAAGTACACGGGCGTTTGATCGGCATTTCTCACCTGGGAGAGCAAGTAGTTGTGCTCCTTCCGCAGCCCGATGACTTAACGTTGATAGCTCAACAGCTTATCCTCGTAGGCATTGGGAAGCCGCTAGCACATAGTCGCTAGCATGAAAAATTTGTGCCTGGCCATGAATCACTGGAACCATCCACGGCCGCGCGAAACTCGCGTGAGATGTTTGTCTTGCAGGCGAACCTCAGGGCTTCCATTTGCACCATCAACGTTGACACAGCATGGACGCAACTCCTCCGCTCCTCAATAAATTTGACAAGTTACATCTTAAGAAGGGGGTACGCACCAGTCTTCGGGCCGCGAAATGCTTGCTTCTTCTTGCATGCACTTTAGAGAGAGGCTTTTTTTTTTTTTTTTCGCCTGCACTTTAGAGAGAGGCTTTTTTTTTTTTTTTTTTTTTTCGCCTGTCGCGAATGCAGAACTCGACGATGTCGTGCTTCCTCGCAGCAGCTCAACTGCAGATTTCTTCCGCAGCAGCTATAATCTTGAGTTTTTCTCTCGTGGTGAAAGATTGCTGCCCAGACAGACTCATGGTGTTTCACCAGACAAGGCTGGCCAACGGTGCAAACTGGCCACACCTGACTCTGAGAAAGACGCTGTCACATCGCCGTTGTGATGCTGTTGACCGAATCAAACAAAGCACGCAAAAAGTGAATAAATATTGCCGCATTCAACCTGCAGAGGAGAGCTCGCACAGCCAGAGAAGAAGACGAAGCTCTTGCCCGGTCCTCTTTACGAGCGCCTTTCATTTTTAATTAAAGTGAGCTCTTCTATATCGAACTCCTGCTGTGTCTGCGTCGTGACACTGGTGGAGGTGCTGGGTACATGTCCAGGACGCCTTCCAACAGCCCGGGATCTAGTCCACAAAGACTTCCGCTCGTCGAAACACCCGTTCACCGCGCCAGCCGCCGCCTGTTAGGCCTGAGCCCAGAGTTTGGTCCTTGGACGGAAAACATGACTGCCCCGGGAAGCAGTTGCCCCACCATGACGAGCCCAAGCACGACACAGGTGACTGTTTTCACCCCTAAAACTCCTGTGGACTTCCATGGCAACTCATATGAGGACGCAGATGACTGGCTTGAGGAGTTCGAGCGCACAGCCAACGTTAACGGGTGGAACGCCGCACAGAAGTTGGGGTACGTGTATTTCCCTCTTCAAGACGGGGCTCGCACGTGGTTCACGAATCGCGTGTGGTCAACGTGGGACGAGTTCCGGCGGAAGTTCCTGGACACCTTCGCAAACACCGAAAGGCGGGAGCATGCACAACGACTCCTTGAATCACGGATTCAAAAGCCCAACGAGTCTGTTGCTATGTTTGTTGAGGACATGGCTCGTCTCTTTCATCGAGCCGATCCCGACATGTCCGAGAACAGAAAGATCAGCCACCTCATGCGTGGTGTTAAAGAGCAGCTGTTTGCTGGTCTCGTACGGAACCCACCTTCAAACGTCGACGAATTTTCGAAGGAGGCGACCGCCATAGAACGCGCACTACAGCTACGGTACCGCCAGTACGACCGTCAAAACAACAGCGGACAAATCAGCGCAACCGCCGTGACCACGGTGACTCCTGACGAGCGTTCTTTGCGTGACCTTATACGCGAAATTGTGCAAGAAGAGGTGAAGAAGCTCGCCGCCACACCGAATGACTGCGCGATTGCGTCGGTCACAGAAGTTGTTCGCCAAGAAATAAGGCAAGCGCTTTCACTTCCCGAGCCGAACACTGAAATAGTTAGGCCAACATATGCAGATATTCTCCGTCGACAGCCTAGATCTAACGTGCCGCCACCTCAACAGTACCACCAGCAACAGCCGCCGACAGTGCCTTGGTACTACAGGGAAACGTCGACGCCGATGCGACCCCCACTCCGCAAAACCGACATATGGCGTACCCCTGACTACAGGCCCCTGTGCTTCCATTGTGGGGAAGCAGGCCACATCGTGCGGTATTGTCCTCATCGCGTTGCCGGGTATCAAGGATTTCCGTCCACTACCCCTCGGCGCTATTTCGACGGAAGACGCAACGTTGAAGCGAGCGCGACGATCCCGCGAGACGTTTCTCCTGGGTTCCGGTCACGCTCGCTTCAACGTTGCGTCTTCCGTCGAAATAGCGCCGAGGGGTAGTGGACGGAAATCCTTGATACCCGGCAACGCGATGAGGACAATACCGCACGATGTGGCCTGCTTCCCCACAATGGAAGCACAGGGGCCTGTAGTCAGGGGTACGCCATATGTCGGTTTTGCGGAGTGGGGGTCGCATCGGCGTCGACGTTTCCCTGTAGTACCAAGGCACTGTCGGCGGCTGTTGCTGGTGGTACTGTTGAGGTGGCGGCACGTTAGATCTAGGCTGTCGACGGAGAATATCTGCATATGTTGGCCTAACTATTTCAGTGTTTCTCCTGGGTTCCGGTCACGCTCGCCCTCCCCAGGTCATTTTCCCCGATCTAATAGAGGTAGCACCACGGACATGGCGAGAGGAAGGTCTCCCAGTCCACGCCGGGGAAACTAAAAGCAGCGACCTTAGGGGGGAAGGTTGCGAATTGCCGAAGATTTGAAAATCCCCCATTGCCGCCGCATGAAGTGCCACACATTTCGAATGAACCGACGAAAGACGAGATTGTCACCGCCGACATTACACTTTCAATTGACGGTCACGACGTGACCGCACTGGTCGACACTGGTGCGGACTTTTCAATAATGAGTGCGAATCTGGCCGACCAACTCAAGAAGGTAAAAATGGAATGGACGGGGCCGCAAATTCGAGGAGCCGGAGGCCAGCTGCTGACACCAACCGGAAAGTGCACCGCACGAATCAAGATCGGGGATTCATCATTCGTGGCAACCTTCATTATTCTTTCTGAGTGTTGTAAACAGGTCATCTTGGGTATGGATTTCCTGCGGGAGTACGGTGCCATTATAAATATACCGGACGGTGTACTGACCTTCTCAGCGGACCACAGGGCAGCGCTGCAGCGCAAGCCCATGCGCGTGATTGACGACGTGACCATGCCACCGTTGTCATGCCGCCTCGTCTCTGTCACGTGTAACACGCAGCATAGTGGAGAAGGTGTCGCGGAACAAATATCGACGCTTTTACTCTCTCGAGGAATCGCTATTGCCAGAAGTCTCGTCAGTGTAGTGTCTGGGCAAGCAGAGGTCCTGTTGACAAACTTCAGCAACGAGCGTCGACACATTGCAGAGGGTACCACAGTTGCATACTTTGAAGAAATTGTAGAATTCCGCGAGTGCTTCGCAGTACAACAGGCAGAGACGCTGGCCGCTTCAACACCACTGCCTGTCGACGTGAGCACAGATTTATCGCCAGCGCAGAGGCAGAGTCTTCTAGATATTCTCGGCCAGTTTGAAGATTGTTTTTCGTCGACCTCGAGAGTAAATCAAACGCCACTGACAAAGCACCGAATTATAACGGAAGAGACGGCAAGACCAATTCGACAAAACCCATACCGCGTGGCACCGAAAGAACGCGAAGCAATCCAAGAACAAGTCCAGAAAATGCTCAATGATGACATCATTCAGCCGTCAAAAAGCCCTTGGGCATCACCGGTAGTGCTAGTTAAGAAGAAAGACGGCAGCTTACGCTTCTGTGTGGACTACCGCAAGCTGAACCGCGTGACCAAGAAAGACGTATACCCACCACCGCGTATTCTGTAGCCGAGCATCGGGTCGATGCTCTTCCTGGAGGGAGGCAAATGCCGCATTCAACCTGCAGAGGAGAGCTCGCACAGCCAGAGAAGAAGACGAAGCTCTTGCCCGGTCCTCTTTACGAGCGCCTTTCATTTTTAATTAAAGTGAGCTCTTCTATATCGAACTCCTGCTGTGTCTGCGTCGTGACAATATGCTACGTAGGGAATCTGTCCATGGCCTGTGTTGGCTTTTATTGGCTTTGCACCAGACAATGCCGATGGGGTTGCGGACTGCATGGGAGACCATGCATTACCGTGAAGCCCACCTCTGCTTCCTGCACCCCCTCCCCTTTTTCAGGCGATTTTTTTTTTTTTTCAAATTTTGGTGAGGGTTATATGCGAGAGAATGCGGTACGCTACATTTTAAGCCTTGAGCTTCATGGAAACCTGATATTTTTTCAATATAGCCAATATTGAAGTGGCGCTGGAGGTTTCAGTTTCATTATAAAATTAATAAATTCTATCCAAAATTCTTGTTCTGTTTGCTATAACTGTTAATTCACTGTACCAGTGTTCACTATAACAAGGTTCAACTGTGCATCCAGTATGTCCCTGCCTAAGTCTTACCGGTTCTGGGTGGCTTGGCCGGACTAGTGCTGCCGGATGAGGTATTTCCTGCCGGTGTGTCGTCCATGCTAGGCACAGATGTCTGCTGCTCCAATCTCGCACTGGCAGTGCCTGAGGTGTCGGCTGACGGAGATGTCCAATGACGGGTGTCCACCAGCGGTGTCTTGGGACGGCTCACCACAACGGTTTCTTTATCGCGCGAACTGTAAAGCTCGGCAGTCGGTGTTTTGCTCCGGTACGGGCCCTGGTACGCCGGTACGTAACCGTCTGAAAAAGAGTGCGAGATCGCAAAGCTTAGCTATGAGGCAAAGCATTTGAAGAAGGCTGACTTCAATAAAGATGGCATAAAAGCCCTGTTTTGAACAGTATTAAGGAGCTCTTGATCAAAATTTGATGTTTTGTAATGCAACTGAAATCGTCAGAGAAAGCTTGCAAAAGCAGTTGTTTTTGGTATTGAAACTAAAAAAAAAACAGGAGAAATACAAATGCCATTATAGCTAACCAAAAGTGACACGTGACAAAGCATGACATGGTTTTATTTTATTTTTATTTATTTATTTATTTTCCCCAAAACAGATACAATGGCGAAAATAGGGAAACGACAAAAAAGCTGCAGTTATTGCAGCTTGACTAAGCACCGTCCACCCTACGTCAGCACTGACAGGGTGAAAATGAAATACAATAAAATGAAAAAAGAAACAAATATTATAAAGCAGGAAACAATACAAGCAGAAGACAAAGTAAATGACAGGCCAAGGTATACAAACAAAAAGGAATATTTCATAAACACATGAGCATAGTAATTTGCAGGGTGTGTATCATCGCTTTGGTACATAAGAAAGGTACACAGTGAGGTTACACAAAAGAAACAATAAAGAAAAAAAATACACAAAGGTACACAATAAATGATTCAAAGCAATACAGAGTGACCTATGTAAACAATACAAATCTACAAGAATAGTGTTTGCACATCGATATTGTTTAATGTGTCAATTTTTATGTCTTGCTGCTCGTATGAGTTCAATATAGTAGGTAGCATGTGGCTAAGTTTTTGGGTGCCGTAATTGGTGCGAGATAACGGAATTTTCCACGGGGGTTTATATCGATTGAAGTAAATGGTTTGTGTATGTTCAAGATTTGCAAGTGTAGGAATGCGTCGAGTTTTCCTCTGTTTGCGCTAATATAGGATTGTAACAACCTGAATTTGTATATGTCATTTGCTTTAACAATTTTATGTTTAGCAAAGAGTTGTCCTGTGTGTTCAAGGTATGATATGTTTTCTATTGCCCTGATCGCTCTTTTCTGAAGTATTTTTAGCCTATTTAAATTTGTTGACGTAGTGTTTGCCCATACTAGAGCGCAGTAGCTCAAGTGGGCATGGAAAAGAGCCTGATATAAAAGCCGCTTTACAGTAACGGGCAAAAGAAGTCGACAACGATTTAGAGTGCCAACCACGCGTCTCAATTTTAAACTAATGTAGTCTGTATGCTCATTCCAGGACATATGTTCATTAAAAACTACTCCAAGCGTCTTAATGGATTTGGTCCATGCAATTTCGTAGGGACCTAGGGTAACATAATTTGGTACATGCAGAGATATGCCGAGAGCTCGGAAAAGGACACATTTTGTTTTTGATTCATTTAACATTAAATTGTTTTTAGTAGACCATTCACGAAGCTTATAACATGTGTTGGCCGCTAAAGCCTCGAGAGTACTGAAATCTTTTCCAGTAAAAAATAATGTGCAGTCATCAGTATATATTATGAAGTTACAACTTTCACAAATTCTGACTATATCATTTATGTAGTATAAAAACAATACAGGTTCCAGGATACTACCTTGTGGTACTCCGGTTTTAATTGGTTGTGTGCACGATTTGAAGCCATTTATTTCAACATATTGAGACCGCGCACTCAGATATGACTGCATAAGTTTGAGTGGTATTTCCCTAAATCCATAGCATTCTAATTTATGTAGTAACAGTTAATGAGATACACGATCAAAGGCTTTACTAAAGTCCAAGTACAATGCAAGTGTCAGAAGTCTCTTTTCGATATTGGAAAGTATGATTTCTTTTTGTGCTAATAAGGCACTTTCTGTTGAAAGTTTCTTTCTGAAACCATATTGGCATTCGGTTATTAACTTGTGCTTCCTCGAGAAACTGTCAATTCTATCATTTATTATTTTTTCAAGGCATTTTGAGAAAACTGGAAGTATAAATATTGGGCGATAATTGCTTAAGTTGTTTTTATCTCCAGACTTAAGTATTGCAGTAACTTTCGCTACTTGCATGTTGGTTGAGAAAATACCTGTTGATAACACTAAGTTGTACATATGTGCTAGCACTTCCGCTATGAGGTCTAATACATACTTTATTGGTCGCATTTGTATGCCATCAGGATCACAGCTCTGACTATTTTTTATTTTACCGAAAAGCATAATTACTTCAGATGTGGAAGTCGGTTTAAGAAAAAGTGTGTTTGATAAGTGAGTAATGTCAGTTGTTTGCATGCTCTGGCTGGCATTTCCTATTTTCACAAAAAAAGTCATTAAATGTTTCAGCAAGGTCGATGCCATTTAATATCCGTCCATCTATTTCAAGATTATCGATTTTTGTGGCAGGGGCTCCTCTGTTCAATACTTCATTTAACTTTTTCCCCATGGATTTACGTTGCTCTGGACGTTAGTAGTCTCTTTTCGCCCTTTCTTTTTCTTTATTCAATCGATTTCTAAGAGCCTTGTATTCAACCCATAGGTCCGCATTACGTGTTTTGACGAACTGCTGGTAAAGTTTATTTTTATGGTTTATCTGACGCTTAAGGTAGTTTGTTATCCAGGGCTTCCGCAATTTGCTCGACCAGTGATGTGCCTTGAGAGGAAATGATTCGAATTAAAGTTCCTTGAATGTTGCAATAAAGTTGTTATATGCATTATTTGCATCTTCATCAGCCATTATATCATCCCAATGTGTCTGCATGATGCGGCACCTAAAGTGCTCCAATGTATTTGGTGTTATTGAATAGTACATGAATTTTTCCGGTTTTACATGAGCCAAATTTGTATGCATTTTTAAGAAAATGAATATAGGCAAGTGATCACTTATCACTGGTTATCACTGGTTACAGTTGAGAGTAAAGCCATCTCATTCAAGCAATACACTCAAACCTCATTGTAAGTTGCACCTTACACGAAAATAAGTTCATTATATTTGAAAATTCGCTATACAGGTTTATCCCTAACACTATATCTATTGCAAGGCTATTTTTCATTTACTTCGTTATAACCGGTATTTCGTTATATCCAGGTTCATTACATCGAGGTTTAAGTGTAGTAGAACCTCATTTGTACTTTTTTTTTGGACAAGTAGGAAAAACGTGCAATCCGAATTTTCTAAAGCATCGTGCAGTTTCGCTTGATAATGATATAGAAAATATTGGCATTAAGAAATCATAAGATATAGGAACAGATCAATGAGATTCTACTGTACTACTTATTTTACATCAGTAATATGTCGCGGATCATAAGGGTAACTGGATCAAGGTTAGGTCTCGTATCTGCCTACCTTGGACGGCAGTTGTTTGTTCTTACCTGAATGGTAACTCTTCAGGGCGAAATGTGAGAAGGTTGAGTTGGATCCTTTCGAGAGAAAGTCCTCCGAAGGACGAACCTAAAGCAGGAGAAAAAAATTTATCTATATCACAATATGGCCATGTCAAAGAGTATAAAATGCAACTGGTAAAAAAATGAAAAAAGGAAGAAAACTGCGCAGCCAAGCCAAGATTCATTGCTTCTACATAGTCGTGCAGGTGAAACGTCTCGCAGATCAAACTTGGCGGGATTGCCACAGGTACACTGTCACCATACTTCACGAGTACTCAAATGAGGCTTGTTTCAGGCCTGTGATATTCCTTTATTTCCTTCTTTCTCCTTTAATAGTTCATGAAGACAACAACAACACTAACGACTTAATAGTATACCACTAATAACAACACAGGCTAGTTATAATATAATGCATTGTGGCCATACTTTCGCTTCTCATAGCAACAACTGTTTTAGGCTACCCATGGGCAGCACTTATGACAAATTCCATTTGTCGAGCAGGAGCAAGCTTTTTTTTGCTGAGCGGGCGAAAATCTGCATTCCACTGGTAGATTCGGAGCAAGTTCACATTTTCCACAGGCACATTCAGAGCACCCCACTCCACGACAGAGCGCTCCGTATGCTCTGTCTTGCAGAGACGGATTTTGCCGGAACTCCGGGGATACATTGCCGTCATTTTCGATACATTCGAGCAGCCAGGTCCTCTTCAGCAATTTTTGAGGCGGTGTCTAATCCACCCTGTGCGCTAGTTTATTTTCCAAAAATGGCATTGTATAACTCTGCTGGAGGTGCTGCTGCTGGTTCGTATCTCGCTTTGAGTGAGAGCACTAGTTCTGCTAGCAGTAGCAGCAGCGAGCACGACGAGCCATGCGTGCTATACGAAATGATGTAAAAAGAAATGTTTCCTGGCCTGCTGTGTGCACGGCCAAAAAGAATCGTCTACGTCGACTTATGCGTAAACAACTTCTGGAATGACCTCAATGAGGCATTCACGTGTTCCACTCGCCGATCCGGCTTGGAGCAATTTGAGAGCTCACTCCAGGATTTCAGCCCCCGCTCCGGATCTACCAGAGGAATTCGCCATAAAAAGGGATGACATAGTCAGGGTAGTTAGGATGGGTCACGTTATCCCGATGCTGCACTACCATGATTCAACAAGATGCACCCAAAACACTTCAGTCACCTCCTTTTCCTATCCATTCGTGCACGACAGAGACTGCATACCCCAAGACCTTGTCAGCCATAAGGCTCCTGGGTTACTAAGGATGAAGCCCCTTGTCAGAGGCCCCACGAAATGATGTGGCTCACCGGGCCTGGTCAAGGGTGACCAATTGGCTTCCCAAATTCACTTTGAAGTGTCACACCTTCCACGACCAGTTCTGTCCTAATTTTTCTTAGGAAAGACCCGAGTCCGTCCTTAATTAGCAGCAAAAAGACTTCTCAAGGTGGCGTTCGAAAACGGAAGGGAAGCGCGAGGAAACAGCATGTGTGAGACCAACTGTTCACCTTAGCAGCGCGAGCCTTGACTTTTGCCGGCGATGAAGGCGCCGGCCTCAGGCCACCTCGGTGCAGGGTGATGCGAGCTGCCTGACCAACGGGGCAGTCCTTGAGTGCCTGCACCACCTCGGTGTGGGGGCGGCCCCGCACGTCCCGATCCTCAATCTCCACCAGCAGGTCCCCTTCCTGCAGACCCCGACAGCGTGGCTCGTCCAGAATCTTCTTCACCTGCAAGATGTTGGAAATATGAGCTCAGGACGGAAGTTGAGTAAAGCGTAGTTTCCTATAAGTACACTAGGAGAAAATCTGGTGCTAGTGTCTATGGGAGCTGCAATGCACGGTGCTTCAGCGAGCATGGGAACGATCGGTAGTACACAAATGCATCGCAAATGCGTCGTACTTCTGGCAATTAAGCAAATGCATCGTTCAGGTCGTTCTGAAAAGGGTCGAAAGAAAAAAAAGAAAAAATGTGGCGGGCGCTAATGCGTTTTGTAAACACTTAGGCGCAAAAAAAAAAAAGAAAAATACTTATTTTCGTTTGCACAGCGTTCCACTTGCCTGTGATAATGGCTGCCTCAATTTCAATTACCGTATAAACCGGACTATAGGTCGAGTGGGAATATAGGTTGACCCCCAAGTTCAGGTTACCGAAAAAAAAAAGGAAAACAACCCGAAATTGCCGAACGACATTTATTTGTGAATTGGGCGCACCGTACCCTGATTGTCGGAGCTCCCTTGAACCACCTTCGAAACTGTTCCTATTCGTCAGACGAAGCACCACTGTCTTCTGAAGACGAGAGTTTGTCGCTGGCCGCCTCCCACAGTGCGTTGTCTTCCGTACCATACAGCGAGTTGCTGATGGAACATTTCTTAAAAGCATTTTCCACAATGGAATCTGGCAAGGAACGCCAGGCGGAAAGCACCTAGCCTCAACAGTCGCAAGCGGAGGCATCTGTACGCGGCCCGTCGGTGTCTTTGGGTTGTTGGCGGACATCCACTTTTGGTACTCTAGCCACACTCGGTTCTTGGACGGCTTGTTTACCACAACATCGATCGGTTGGAGGGTGGACGTCATACCACCTGGTATAACGGCGAGGTCCGTTTTTTCATCGCCCAGTGCGCGCTTTACAGCGTCGGTTAAGTGACCACAAAACGCATCTAACACCAGCATGCTGCAAAGACGTAGCAGTGCACCTGGCAGACGGTTCCAGACTACTCATATCCATTCGAGCATCATGGCCTCGTCCATGTATCCCTTTTTGTTGACACGAACGACAACACTGGGTGGGAACAGTTCCTTCGGCATTGTCTTACGTTTGAAAATGATGAAGGACGGAAGCTTCCTCCCATCTACCATGCATGCCAGCATGACGGTGAAGCGCGAGTGCTCGTAACCAGTGGACAACAGCTTCATATTCTTGGCGCCACGCTGTATGATCATGGTCGATGAAGGCATGTCAAACCCCACGGGGGTCTCATCAATATTGTCAATCTGCCCCATCATGTAGTTGTTCTACTCCCAAAGCCGGTTCACGAAGCCCTGAAAGTTTATAACCTTGCCCTCGAACTCGTCTGGAAACTTTTGACAGATGGATGTGCGCCACTGCAAAGAAAATCCTTTGCGTCTCATGAATAGACACGCCCAAGAGTTTGGTGCACGAAACTCTTCTCTCGTGTGCCCAGCTTCGCGAGCGAGTTCTACAGCTTTTTTTGCGAATGGTATCTACGGTCACTGGCAGCGAGCACGCATGAACTTCCCACAGTATGTTACCTAGCGTATCCCCCAGCTGCGGATGAACTGCACTTCGACCACGAAATGACATTTTCCGAGGATTGCACATCTGCAGCTTCCTTTTTTGCACCCTCCAATAGCGCACGCTTTTTTCTGATACACCAAAGCGGCGCTGATCAGCCATATTCGCCTTCGCTTCTGCGAACTCAACAACCTATAGTTTAAACGCAACTCAGTACTGCCTTCTCGTACCGCTACTGTTATTCAGTGAACGAAAAAAAAGACCACTAAAAATGAAACAATGTCAAGTGGAGTGAGAACTTAGAACAGATCGGAGGCAAATCAAGAACACACAAAAAAAAAAGACAAGAGAGAGAAAAAAAAAACCTGCTATTGGATTTGAATGCGAATATGGCCGTGTCCAGCTTCTGATGCACATGCAAGCTACATGTTGCCAGACAGCGGTGCACTGTCGGCTAGACACCGCTATATAAGACGAGGGGCGACTTTAGCTCGTTGTTTTATTGAAACTATCTCGACTTATATTCCGGTTTATACGGTAACGTCATGCTGTCGCCCTACACCGACGACAGTTTCAGTGCTCGCATAAACTCCGAGCTCGTTTTCTGTGTAAGTGCTGTCTCTTCGATCTCGGTGTCACAGTCGTCGGAATACTTTTTCGTTATCGGTCAATTCCACACACAGCAAGAAATCTTTGTCAGCGTCAGCAAAGCCCTCAAGGGTTATTCCATGGAACGTGCAGATCATCAAAGGCAACATCCGCGAGTGTAAGTTCGTCGCACACGCAGTCTACTCTAGGCGTGACGGCCGTCTCAGCGTCCAGTATGAAGCTCTTGTAGCGAAAGCAGTTTCAAAGGGTCTGTTGCGTAACCGCCTTCAACGACCGACCTAGCTGCTCAGCTTCCACAATGCATAACTATACCTAAAATGCTAAACTAAAATGAATAAAATGAATGAATGGCTGTGCACTTTCCTGAACTCCTCACCTTCAAACTGCTTTATATATATACATGTATAAACGAACACTGTTATATCGAAGCCACATCAAATTTTCAGGTGTATTGAACTCACAAGTTACCCCTTGAAAGTCCATTGTAAATGTATAGAAATTCGCATGTTTATATGAGACGATATTTTTACCTGCCTTGGGATACATCGAACGCCGCGCGAGCTGGAAGGTCCGTGCGGCACTAACACCACCCCCCCTTCCTGATCTCCGCGGCAGTGCGGCTTCAAGCGCAAGTTGGAAGGTGCACTCCCGCCCTCGCAGCGCCCGTGTGGCACCACGCCTCCGCCATAACCCGAAACGCTTGAAAAAAGGTAAGTGCAAGAGGGCTCGGCCAGCACAATCTCTAACTTGCGGAACGGGTTTTTCTGTTTTCGTTTCTCTTTCTCTCTCTTTCATGCTTGCCGACGTCCTCCTCCTTTCACATTTTTGTTTATTTTTTGTTGCTGTTTTGCCAGTTTTGATCAGCCAACCAAAGCTCGCACCTTTTGTCCTCGCAGATGGCCATCGCCTCGCTAGCGCTTTGTTGCTTCTGTTGTCGGCTCGCCTATGTACCGCCGCATATGCAGCATTTCTCTTTTGCATGCGTGGTATGCAAAGCCGCTGCCGACTCCTTGAATTGTCGGCTTCTCGTTTAGCTATGGCCAGCGTCAAGTAGTGCAAGACCCTTGACATTGTGACGAAATTGAAGGCTATTCGGCATGTTCATGCGGGCGAGAAATATTCGACCGCCGCAGACGACTTCGATATACCACGGAGCACTCTGCGTACTTTGTTGAAGAACAAAGCAGATATCAGGGCAAAGGCGGCAGTGCAGCGAACATCGGGAGCCTGGCGTGTGAGCGCTCCTGCCCACAAGAATGTAGAAAAGGCACTCTATGCCTGGTTTTTAGAAGTGCGCGCGAAGAACATTATGGTGAATGACCCGATGCTGATCGCCAAAGCCAAATGGTCTGCTAGAACATTCTGGTGGATGGCCCGATGCTCAGCCAAAGCCAAAAGGTTTGCCACTGCACTCAGTGAAACAACTTTGCCGACAACAGTAGGTAGCTTCACTGATTTAAGCAGTGCTACAACATCGTTGGCAAAACCAATTCTGACCAAAGCAAAGCTGTCAGCAGCCAGGACATCCAGCTGAGGATGACGAAGGAGTCGCTGGAAATCTGCGCGAAGTTTTCTCCCACGGAGATCTTCAATGCCTGGCAAGTCGTGATGACGGACACAGTGGCCAAGTGCTCCCGCAAGCCAGGCTTCGAGATGGCGGAACTTGCGGAAATTGGTGAAGGCGTTGATGACGAGTCCATAGACAATGCGTTTCGTGAGTTGTCATCCCGCTTCGCAGCAGCAGTTCTACACGAAGTGTCTGCGGACGACTTCGTGGACGCGAACTACAATGTCCAGGCCGACAGTTCATGTGACGAGGACGATGGTCCAGGCGAGGCGCTGGCTACACGCGCATGCTCTGCCGCTAAAGTGATGGCAGCCTTGAGCATCATTCGCCGTCATCATTCGCCATCGGCCGCATGGAGGGAACCGGGCTGTCGCACCTGGACAGCCTTGATAAGATCGAGGCCAGCATCTCCAACATTTCAAAAACGAAGAAGCAGGCCAATACTAGTGATTTTTTCCCGCAAATAAATCATTCTGTTGCGGCGTGAGTGCAAAATTAGTTGTCATTTTTTAATGTGCCTATTGTAGGTGATTCCGCTACAAGTAAACTCACGGGGCCTCTATGTTTTTATATCGAATTTGTCATATATTGAACTAATTCAAGATATCCTTCGAGTTCGTTATATCTGTGTTCGACTGTATATTCTTTTTCGCCACACACTTCTCGTTCAATCTGCCATGGTGGACTACAGTGAAATCTTGGTAGAATAAACCCCACATTAACGAACATTTCAGATTAATGAACTTTTGAAAAATCCCACGCCGACTGCTAATAGATTCAATACAAAATTTTTTCACTACTACGTACATCAGAACACCGAACTTTTCAGAATAACGAGCGTTAATTTAGTTCCGCGTTATATTAACAACGCCTCAGTACTACGAACTCATGTTCTGAAATCCGTTGTGACCACCAGAGTGGTATGCAAGCAGACGACAAAGCGAACAAACGCCTTGCTTCTCGAAAGACGTGCGACAGTGCGGAGGGGGAAAAAAAATGAAAAGGCGACTTTCTTTTCTTTCTTTTTATTGAAACGCTGATGCTGCCGGTTTACAAGCGCAGAGGGGAGGGCAACACGAGAGGGCAAGGTCAGCAAGGTAGAGTGGGAGTTGCGAAGCAGGAAACATGAATGCGGAAAAGCTGAGACAGCCAGGGAGCAGAAAACGAAAAGCGAGGAATTTTCTTTATCAGCACTTTTTTTTTTTCTTCAGGAGAGGCGATGGCAGCCTCAACGCTTCGGGTTTTTCTTTCTTTGTCACTTCTACATGTGCTCTAGGAGGCCTTGTTTGTCAGTCGTGTTCATCTCTTTTCGGTGATTATTTATCGTGTCCGCAAAGCAAGTCGGCGTTTGCGCTGCGGTGCTACTACAAATGAGTTCATCTCTGCTTGCGACGAAGAAGTGGAAGCAGTTTTCGCTAAGCGAGAAAGTGGATATTCTTCGGCAACTGGAAGGCAAAAAGCAGGCTCTTGTGACCAAAAACTGAATCGCACCACAGGAATGTGGATGAGCTGAGGGCCTTCGCGCTGCAAAGTTTGAGCTGCACGCTTCGAGAAAAAAGATCACAGACTTTTTTAAAGTAAACATGCAATTCTTGGTGTTCACATTTGCATTTTTTTTTTGCCGTGAAAAACAAGTTCAAGGACCCACCATTGTAAAGGTAAGTCATTTTGATCGGTGGAAAATAAGCATTTATTGTTAATTTTTGGGCTTTCACTATAACGAACAAATTGCCGCCGCCCCCTGAAGTTCGTTATACCGAAATTTCACCGTAGTGGTTATGGTGCTCAACTACTGCCCTTAAGTTAACAGATCAAATCCGTGCCAAGGTGGCCACATTTCGAGAGAAGCAAAATGCTAAATGGCCATGTGCCTAAATTTACGCACCTGGTAAATAACACCAGCTGTTTGAAATTTCCACATACACACTATATACTCTCTCACAATCATACCATAGTTTTGAGAAATGAAACCCCATTTATTATTGAACTCCTGGTTCAGCCAATAGGCGTATATAGATCGATGTTCTCAGAACGGTTACACAAAACTTTGCACGCTGGCGGTCACTCACCTTTTGACCATAGGCACTATCTGCGATCGTGAAACCAAAGCCCGAGGTTCCTTTGACAATCTCCACGGTCAGCATCTGGGGCTTAGGGGCGATGGCACCAGGGGAAGCGGGCCCGGAGAAATCTAGGATGTCTGGGGCCCCTCCGCTGCCAACACTGAGCAGATCGGCACTGTTGTGCCTCTGCGGCCGCGGCCTGTCCGGACCGCTCAGGTCCGGCATAGACTTTGCAGGCCGCGTCCGTGACTCTGTGCTGTCTAAGTCCTCCAAGCTCTTACTCGAGTAGATGTCCTACCGGGTCAATAAGTGTAACGTGGTCAGTACGAAGCAAGTGCCCACGAGATCATCATTACACTCAGTTACAACCAAAAGATAATTGTCAGCTTAGAGTACATCGATGCCCACTCCTCCACTTAGAATTAAGACATCTGCATCGTCTGCAATGCGGCTGCCATTATTACTTCCGTTGCATACCGGTTTCGCTCTAACAGGAAGTGGTACTCAAACTTAACGCAAACTGTTGTAGCACTGAGGAATACAATATACAGACATACCATGCTGAAGAAAGCCATGCATACGCTGCAGCAGTTTTCTTTTACACAGTGTGCTTGGTCTTGAGTTAGTGAAAAATCTAAGTGGGCATTTAAAAATGAACGTATGAGAATGTTCACAAATTACACTTAGACTAAGACAACATTGTTGTGGCAAGTGATGAACACACGAACTTTCAAGTTTTACACCATCTGCACAATGCTGACAAGTCATATTTAGTAAGGTAAACAAGATCAGGGCATCCATGAATTTACAGCAACATCCTTCACAAGCAAATTTTCTAAACTCTTTTGCAAAACATACTCCTCAATCTGCTTTCTTTTTTTATTTTATATTATAAATTCAGAAATACAGAATCGAAGCTATCTATACGAGTTCGCTAGTTTGCACACGCACCATGTGTTCTCTGCGACTTAATCCGGTCCTACAGCTAATGCTGCCTGAGTTTGTGTAACATTTGCAGGCAATTGAGCTCTATCCTCACTACAAAAGCATACACATACGCAATACTGTGCACTGTACCAGTTGGTTTGTCCAATAAGCTTGACAACACTGGCAGGTGCTGCAGAGCACTGGCAACAACTCATCGACTTCTCCCAAGAGCTAAAAGCTCGACCGGCTGGCCCTCGGCATCAGAGCTATCAACAATTACGCAGAGATAACAGCAAAGCAGCGAGCAAAGACACCTGTTAACTTCCTGATCTGCTTCCTCAACCTAACAATCCCTGCAGCAATACGCATGTGAGAGCAAAACATTAAGAAGCCCACTACGTATTAGCAAAATGGAGGCAACTAAAGCTTGGCTTGTGCATGCCAGACATACTCCTTTTCTTTCTTTCTATCCAATGTGCAATACACCTTTTTAACTGTTTTCTTTCTCCATGCCAGGAGTTGTATCCTCATCCACTTGCTTAGCAACACAACAGTTCAGCTGCTACAGGCAAAGACAGCCATGCATTCATATACGGACAAGAATGAAATGGAGCAACGTGAAATGACCTCGATAAATTAAACTACAATATCAGAAACGGCTGACCACGGATAAGCCCACAATCAGGACACCATCAAGTAACGAAAAACAATGGGTACTAGTATGCACGTACCAGCGTACTTTCACTGACTAAATTTCTGTATGCTTGCTCTATCGGGTTTTTCGCATGTGACGTCTCTACCGAAATCAAGCTCTGCTTGAAAAACACGCTATTACGTGCGTATATTGAGACACTGTACCTGGTAGTCATCGGGGCGAGGCCTGTGGTGGGCCATGGGGTCGTCAGGAGATGTGACCGCCATTGTGGTGACAATTTCAGTGTTGGGGTCGTCGGGGTCGAAAGGCAGGGCGTAGCCTCGACACACCTGCAGGTGCACCATCTCGCCTGGCGGTATCGACTGGAACAGGCTCACCACACCTTGGTGTGTGTAGCCCAGGACGCAGATGGTGTTGACGTACACCAACACGTCACCTGCATCAGTGTAGAGGAAATAAAGAACAGCTCCCCAAAGACCTTTCTGTACAACAGCCCAAGGGCTCAGCATGTTGGTAATTAAACATACACTCCAGCCAAAATAGTGCCTACGTGCTTGTAGATTTAAAGCTTGAATTAGCTTTTTTAAAATGTTTAGTGCACCAAAATCATGATATAAATATGAGAGGGCTTTGGATGAACTGATCACCAAGGGATGCTTATTATGCACGTAAATCTAACTAGAATAACCCCTTAATATGCAGCAGCATTGACCATGTATCAAACTTATGTTCTCGTGCTCAGCGAGAAAATGGCCTTGCTGCTAAGGTACCATGGCAGGTTCGGCTTCCGTGTTTCCTTATTACAGTAATGCATGCAAAAATATGGCATATGCCAGTTGAGTCTTTCCAGCTAAATTTCATATTGTAGACCCTCGTGAAACGAGACATGAGAGGGCCAGAAAAATTTGTTTTGTTTAACAGGAGTTCTATTCACTGAGAGGGAAACAGAGCTGCAGAAGTTAAGTGTCAAATCAATCATATTAGAGAAAGTTCTTCCACTTGAGCAGCAGTTGGTTTCACTTACAGAGAGTTCACTGTACAGTACTCTAAGTAAATAGAACACTTTCAAACGTAACCGGCTATAACATGATTTGTTTCATACTTATACTCTGCCCCCCTGTTCATCTCTCGGTAAGCTCCTGTTAAACCAAACACATGTTCCCAGTCTATCCAGGTCCTATTGAATGAAAATATGCTGTAGCTGTGTTTACAGTACAACAGTGCCAGCAGACACAAACCAAATATATATAATTTCAGTTAGACTTCCCTGTCCCTCAGTGGCAGGAATTCCCCGGTTCTCACCTGTGCGCAGTTTCCCGTCAGCCCAGGCGGGTCCATTGGGAACGATGCTCTTGATCTGAAGAAATTCCTCCGAGTCGTTTTCGTCAGCGCCTACAATGGTGAAGCCAAAGCCTCGGGCACTCTTCACGAGCGACGTATGGATGATGTCGCCTTGAAGCTCGGCTGGATTTCGCGTGAACAGGTAAGGAAGGCGCCCATGCGAACCATGGTGGTCTGTCGGTGAACAAAAGCCCTGGCGTTACGCCACACTATTCGAAGATGGTGATGATGCAGTCAATGTGCCAAACACATCTCTGTCACTGACGCACACTTTTGTGCGTGCCGTTTTCGACAGTTGTTAGGCCCAGGCACCTCATGCTTAATCTCTTTCTCGTTTTAAACGCACACTGTCCCTCTTTACCTAATCGTTTCCAAACCGTTTTTGGTTTGACCACCAGTGCCCAAGTTGTCCCGCTTGACAGCAAAGGTTCTCGCTGTAGTCATGATGATTAAGACGGTCAGAATGGTGAAACAACTCTCGGAATGCTGAAAATTTCTTAAAGCACTCAGGTCCTTGTTATAGTGTTACTGTTAATTATTAGCAGGTAGCCCACCTTTCTTTTCTCATGAGTAATCAACAATGAATTTCATTAAACTAATATGACTTTGTATGTGTTTCAATTTTTTTTTCAAACAGCAAAAGCTTGTTTTCTTTAGAAAAGATTTTGTCAATACAAATTTGGAAAGAAAAACAAAAAAGACAGCCATTTTAAAACTTCTCAAAATATCAAAACAGTTAAGGCGTTAACTTTACTGCTCAAGAAAATGTTACATGCTGGTCAAGCTTCCATTCTGACAGTCTTATCTGTGATGCTGCACCGGCCCTCCAATAGGCATCATTCGCATGGCTACAGACCAATGACACTAGTGGACATGATATGAAAGATGTCAACAGCTGAAAAGATTTGCAGGAACTGCTAAAATTTACGAACCACAAACAACAGATCATGAGTGATGTGCTCTCAAGAGCACCCGAGTCGTATTAGTGAAACTTGGCATTACTCTCAGCACAATTTTGGTCCGAATTCCCCTGTCCCTACGGGAGGACAAATTCACATTTCTGCAACATCTTAATAAGATCTCAAACACAATACATATTTCATCAAAGAAATCATGACCGTGTACGTCACAACAGCTGCTTTCTGTGATAAACAGTCCAATATGACTAACCTTATTGTTATTTGCAATGTTCGTACTGCAAATTTATTTATTTTCCAGTGACGGATGTCATAAAACTAATTTTACACTTTGCAAAAGAAGTGACCTAGATTCTGGAGCTCATTTACAGGCCCTACACAAATGTTTGTGCTGTGAACGTAGGCAGTTCATTCGTGGGTACATCTCGTGTAGTAATAGTGCTGCGTGCAGCACAAAGCTGTGCGACAAGTGCTCTTTCTGGCGAGGCAACATTGTGAGCTATCAAGGAAGAGCAAGAGAAACACCCCAACATTGGTGCATATGGACAAGCAGGCAGATGTCAGAAAATATGCACGAAACATCTCTGACACTAACCCTCTGGCATTTTCGTGGATGTTTGAATAAACACGTTGAATTCGTATTGAATGCTACGATGATCCCCTTTCGTAATCATGACAATGTTATGTGCAGCAAGGAAGGTCACAAATAGTGTGCCAGCCTGATGACATTAATTTATAACACGATCCTTCTTTTTAAACGGCTGTGGCAAGTGATCACTTGATCTGTGCAAACTACTTGCATGCTGGCACACTGTAACTCAGCCCTCTACCAACCTTCTTTACCTAAAAAATTTTTTCTCTGTGATTTTTCACCCACACACTAGGAACATCTCTAGCTCACTTAAATTGCTGACTCATGTATAACGCAACTTTCCTATCTTTTCTTACTTCAAGTATATCTGCGTCATTGAACTTGCCTTGTTGAAAATTTCACCCAATGCATGCTGGCACCATCTGGTGCTGCGCTGTGCTACCACATTCCACAATATAAGCCATTTCGTGCAGGTGTGCGGCACCAGCCTATTTCATGCATCCTTTCCACAATTTGTTTCATATCTGTGAAAACAGCCCACATGCACCACAGGCAATGACGGGGATTTCCCTTACAGCCCGCTCTCGGGCCAGTGTTAAGACAAAGCCAGTCAGCCAGCAGCAGCCGCACAGCCCACCTGAGGCCGGGAGGGCTGCCGCTGCGCAGGGAGACACACCGTCTTGCGCGGTGGTGGGAGTGGCGGGGGGTGGCCGGTGGTGCGTGCGCAGTGCAGCAGCAGCAGCCGCAGCCGAGGTCGGTGTCGTCGTGATGGTGCCGGCGGGCCGGTGGTTGGCCGAGGGCTGCTGGGGCCCGCCTCCCAGCTGCATCAGCAACCCTCCTCCTTCCTGGCGGTGATTGGACAGAGGACCGGCCGGCGGCACCCTCTCAGAGCCAGGGGGCGGTGCAGCTGCCGTTGGGGGCGTGGCCCCTTCTTCAGAGGACGAGGGCGAGGAGGTGTTAGTCGGGGGCTGGTCTCGCAGGCAGGGCAGGCAGGGAAACAGCGGGGAGTGCCGCGAGGGGGGCGTGCGCAGTCGACGGCACTCACGGTTATTGTTCGCAGCGGAGGAAGATATCGAGGCGCCGCCGCTCGCCGTTGGGGACTGCTGCCGCTGGTGGAGGCGGTGATGGTGGGAAGGGCTAGCTGACGACACACCTGGGGTGGGACTGGCATCGCAGGGCTGCGATGCGCTGCTGTTGCCAAGTAACTGCTGCTGGGATGACTGGGAGCCCTGCGGGCTGACCGTCGCCAGCTGGCCACTACCTGGAGAAATGCAGCCACCACCCCCTCCAACGCTGCCATTGCCTTGCACCGCACTCATACCAGAGCCAGCTGAGCCTGTAAACACAGGTACAAAAAAATGGTCTGCGTTAAATCCCATTGCAGGAGTGGGGCTGATAATGATCACAATAAACAAGGAAGCATCCAGATAAACATACTGGCCACACCGGTATAATGAAAATAGGTCCAACCATAGTTTGATATTGTTACCTAGAGTTGTGAGCCGGCAAGCCCTAGCGAACCGAAAAGGGCAAAGAGAACGAAGAAGAAGTCTGTGTTAGCGCTTCGTTTAAAAGATACATGCTCGTGTCTTGCTGCCCCACTGTTCCTGTCTTGTCTTCACGGCTCTTGGTGCGTGACAAACTGGTGGAGGTGCGGGGTATCGATCCCCATACTTCTCGCATACTATCGCCGCTTTATTGAAAACTTCTCTAAGATTGCCGAGCCACTCATGAGACTTACACATGATGACACCCCAGTTCTGTGGACTGACGAACAAGCGACAGCCTTTGCGAAACTGCAACATCGATTGTCTTCCCCTCCTGTACTTGGTCATTTCGATGAGGACGCTGACACAGAGGTGCGCGCTGACGCAAGCAATATTGGTCTCGGAGCTATCTTGGTGCAAAGACAAGATGGGACCGAACGTGTGATTGCCTACGCGAGCCGCACTCTATCATGTGCCAAAACCAACTATTCAACGTCAGGGAAAGTATGTCTCACGGTAATATGGGCGATTACAAAGTTCAGGCCTTATCGCTATGGGCGCCCATTTAAAGTTGTGACTGATCACCACGCTTTATGTTGGTTGGCTAACCTCCGAGACCCCTCTGGGCGATTAGCACGATGGAGTCTGCGACTTCAGGAGTTCGATGTCACCATCGTATACAAGTCGGGTAGAAAGCATGAAGCCGCCAACACGCTATCACGAGCACCTCTGGAATCGGACCATACAGCTGTAGAAGATGACAGTGCCTTCCTGGGGATTTTCAGTGGGGTGGACCTCCTCTGTAAGCAACGAGCGGACCCCGAGTTAAGGCCCATCATCGATCATTTAGATGGCAGCACCACGTCTGTTCCTCGTCTACTTTCCTGTACGTTGCCGTCATTTTGCTTACGACACGGCATATTATACAAGACAAACACCGGTGTCGGCAGCAGATCTTAATCTTCTAGTCATTCCTCAAGACCTTCGTAATGACATCCTATTAGCCTGCCACAATGAGCCGACATCCGGCCATCTGGGATACTACTCACGGACGCTCTACCGGGTACAACAGCTATATTTCTGGCCAAAACTCGCAGCTTGTGTCAAACGCTACATGAAAGGATGCCGCGAATGTCAGCATCGCAAGTCACCAACTGTAAAGTCTGCAGGCCTCTTACAACCCATTGACCCACCACGTAAGCCGTTTGACCAAGTTGGGATGGACCTCCTTGGATTGTTTCCTTTGTCTCCCTCTGGAAACAAGTGGATCATAGTCGCAACTGATTACTTGACGCGCTAAGCTGAAATGAAGCCACTGCCACGCGGTACAGCATCTGAAGTCGCCCAGTTTTTCATGCACCACATATTACTTCGTCATGGTGCCCCGTCATTCATCATCACTGACCGAGGGACAGCGTTTACGGCAAAACTGTTGGACGACATCTTCAAGCTCAGTTACACAAACCACCGTAAGACAACCGCATACTGCCCCCAGAGTAACTGCTTTACAGAAAGGCTAAACAAAATGCTGGCGGACATGATTTCTATGTATGTGAATGAGCAGCATAAAATGTGAAACGAGATCCTGCCGTACGCAACGTTTGCGTACAACACAGCAACCCAGGAAACGACAGCGTTCGCACCCTTCCACCTCGTTTACGGTCGAGACGTGCAAACCATGCTAGCCGCCATGATTCTTTGTGACATCGACCAGCACGAGTTGCTAACTCCTGATGTCGTGGATTACATTCAACGTGCAGAGGAAGCCCGTCAACTAGCTCGCGTGCACATAAGATCGCAGCAATGTAAAGACGCCCGACCGTACAATATCCACCATCGACCAGTCACCTATCAACCTGGCGACCAAGTGTGGGTTTGGACTCGTTAGACGGCGAGGTCTCAGCGAGAAACTTTTGAGCAAGTACTTCGGACCCTACAAAGTATTACGGCGGTTGAACGAGGTCAACTATGAAGTCATTCCAGGCGGTGGCTCGGCAACGACCCAGCGCTACTCACCACAACAGAGACTGTGCATGTCGTCTGCCTGAAACCTTATTTTATGTTGTAATACTCGCCTTATTGTGCCCGGGCAGCAAACATTTTCTTTTTTTTTTTACGTTGTCCGTAAAGTCTCAAATGAACTTTGACGTGTGTTAATGTTTTTTTTTTTTATGACAAACCACAGACTTTTTCTTTTTTTTTTTGCACCTGCATATGCCCTATGCACTAGAAGCATCGTTTCTCCCTTTCTTTTTTTTTTTCCCTTATGGGCCCTGCTGTCTCCTTGTGTATGAGCATCAAGTCGATGCTCTAATGGGAGGGGGAATAATGCCACCTAGAGTTGTGAGCCGGTAAGCCCTAGCGAACTGAAAAGGGCAAAGAGAACGAAGGAGAAGTGTGTGTTAGCGCTTCGTTTAAAAGATACACACTCGTGTCTTTCTGCCCCGCTGTTCCTGTCTTGTCTTCACGGCTCTTAGTGCGTGACAATATGATATTAGACTAATGCTGGGCTGAAAGTGTACTAGAGGCACTCGAGTCCGGGCCGTACAACATGCATGCAGGCTTTGTTCAGTGAAAACATAGTTGACAGTGCTTCAAGGCACTGTCAACAACAAACTGCTGACTTCGCTCACAGTCATAGGATCATTAAGCTAACTGCTGGCGAACGTTAAACAAATGTGCAGCCCCTTTAAACATTGTTCACACAATGAGTGATATCAGATTATAAATGACACAAACAAGCTAAAAAAAAAGCTGCTCAGTTAGAGCCTACATTAGGAAAGTCATCAGGTGTGAGTCATTGACACTCACCAGGTGAGGTTTGCAGCTTGAGATGGGGAAGTGGGCTTTCGTACTGTGTTCTTCGGTTGACATGGCTGCAATAAGTGACAGCACATGAGGCACACTGCAACTTCTCAAAATGTCAAAACACGCTCTCAGTTTACAACAGGCAACCCAGAACTCACTCTATGTAATACGTCCCGTAGTGTGGGTCGTCAATCCTCTCCCAGCCATACGGAAGCTCTGCATGTGGTAAACAAAAAAACAGACAGACAGACAAAAGAGCACATTAGCCAGGGCCACGAATGTGAGAAAAATGCAGTGTGCAGAGATGCAAGCCTTACGCACCTCAAGGCACTCACCTTCTTAATGAGAGGAATAGCGATACCATGCGAGTTAGAAGGAAGGTTATTTCGCATAAGCACCAAGCCACAGAGGCAAGCAGGCTCCAGCGCCGAGAGAGACTCACCGTACTCCCCGTCATACGACACTCGCGACTTGCTCAACCTAGGGTCGTGCCACTGCGATGTGTTCGTGTCGTGGCTGAAACAAGGTGAAATACAGGAAAACATATAAATCTAACGCCCTCTGTTCTAAATTTCTGGAGCTCTCCACTACAGTATAACTCATTGTGACATGTTTGTTGGGTTTAGAGTGGGATATTCCAGATATTCTCATCATCAAATTCCACACGCCTGCTCAAGAGCCGTAAAACCACACCAAACCACAATTGACCCAATGGCATACAAAGCAGCAAGGAATCTAGAGCTACAAAAAAGCAGCTTTTTTGGGAAGCTTAGAGACACAAGCAGGAACCACATAGCCGCAGACACTTCTGCTCGGTGAGGTGCCCAAAATTTTTGATCCACATGAAAACAACTGGTGTGCTATGAGGCCAGGAAAAAAAATCTATCCATGCGGGGGAACTCAAATTCATCGTATAATGAATACCTGAAAAACAAAATAGAATTCAGGGGTATCCAACACAACTCCTAGCTACAGCAGAACTTCAATTTTACGTCGGCCGGCTTCGTGACGACCCAAATTCTACAACTAATCAATTTTGTCCCGGCAAAATTCTCATACAAGTTATGCATTAAAAACCTTGGTTATACGACGCAACATCACGCTAACCCCACATCTTACGACGACTTTTAGATTTCGTCTGATAGAAAAAAACCACCTTTACTCAAATCAAACGTCCACCAAATATTCATGAGTGCAAAATATGAACTTGCATTCCCCTAGGTTTACAATTAGAAAAGTGGAGAGTGAGACAGGATGTCTTCTTAAAATGGAACATTTATTCTCCTGGAAGTTCATGCACTCCTGCATACGCCTCGATCGCGTGAGTACGTAGCCGGGGTCGTTACCTAGTCAAGCTCTATTCACACACAGTAGCTTCAGCCGGACGAAAAGTTGATATTTTCACATTTTCGGTTCGTGCAAACTCTTCCTGGTCTTGATAGAGCTGATCTCCTGCCTTTGTCGCACTCGCAGTCACAGACTTGCACACGCATAAGGACGCAACGCAGCTGTTTTCACCCTGCGGAATTACTTTCACCTGACATCAATGTTTATAATAAGAGCGGGACACCATTCGTTGCACTTTACAAGGCACCAAATTACAACCTGCACAGCTCAATTGTGCACGAAAGCTCCATGCATTCTATGCAAACTTGTGGTTCGTTGCCGTTACGTGAATGCGATGACACTGCGTCTGACTCTTCTGACGGGAAGCTGTTGGCAACGTGGTTTCAGTTTGACACGCAGGCAATTTTTGTACTTTATTTAGTGGTAGAAAGATGCAGGTTGAATTCAATTTCTTTGAAGTTTCAGAATAAAGATGCCTTCACACCTCATTCAACTAAGCAAAGCTGCCATTATCTGCCACTGGCAAGAATGACTTAATCTACCTGTCTTGCAAAGGCACAAGGTCGTGCGTGCTGTGGGCTTATTCTGGCAGTCTGTACCCGCTTTTTGGGCAGGACAGTGTGTTACTGCCTATAATCTTAGTGTTTCAATTATACAACGCCCAGGTTATACAACGGTTTTGCCTAGTCCCCTAAAAGTCATATAATCAGGGTTCCACTGTGTACTAAAACCAGAACAGGGCACTTGCAAGACGCAGCCGGTGGTGCAGCGCTTATAGTGCTGGACTGCTGATCTAAAGGTCATGGTATCAAACCACGGCCATGGTAGCCACATTTTCATAAAGTCCAATGCGATAGGCCCGTGTGCTTAAATTTGTCTGAGGCAGGCACATGCTGAGCTTCGCTTTCACACATTTTCCCGACAAAGAGAGGGCTCCTAATTTTTGTCATAACTTGCTGTATTGGGGTTGCTCCCAGGATTTATAGAAATACCTCCCTCGCTGAAATGTATCCCCACCCTCCCCCTTACTTCAAAGCTTGGCAAAAGAACCTGCAAGGTATTTTTCATTAAACGAAGACTTCTTAGTTGTTCATATTCATTCTATGTGTTGAGTACTATTAGTAGCACAGCGTTCTATCTCAAGCAAATCAATATGACCGTTCTAAACGGCCCGTAAACCACCTCCGATATTTTTCAAGCATTTTAAGTAAACGTGCGTATCGTGTGCAAAATGCTGTCGCGATCAACGATTTTGCACGTGGTAGCGCTACGAGCCGCCGGCACGCCACAAATTCCAGAAAACAATCCCTCCTCCTTTCCGGGCCTTTCGGGCCTCTGTGTGACGCGCCGAGCCAAATATGCTGTGAGTGGTCGGGCAAGAGCCTATGATTTCCAATCAATCTGCAAGAGGCTGTCCGCACTGCTTGTTGCACGTGTTACCCATATGCATGCAACACGTGCGGGGCACAGCGGGTCCCCGTACGGGTCCATCCTGTTGGCGATCTTTTGAAGGCGTGCGCGCAACGCAGGGTCCGTACCGGCACGATTACAGCAGCCACGGTTCCCCAACAAGCACGCAACTGATGGAGTCGACGGCCGGAGTTGCAGCAACCTGAAGTAGACGGTGTTTCAAGCAGCGCATCAGCCATGACGTATGCCACGCGAGATTGGCAGGGGCATGAGAGGGGCGCTCGGCGAGAGGGCAAAGCGGCGTGGGAGAGGATACCAGCGGAGAGAAGCGCAGGAGAGAGCGAAAAGTGGTGTTGTCATGGTTTCGGTAATCAAACAGGTCTAACTCCGCTATAACTGCACCGTTTCGAAAAATTCTCACGGCTCCATGTTCGTCATACACTCGTGCACAATTTCTCCAGCACAACTGAATTTCAACCTCTGGGTGGTTAACAGGACTACTCATAGATGTGTGCACTTCAGCACGTTTTTTGATAATGAAAGTATAAAAGTCACAGCTTTGCCACAAAGGCGAAGCAATGAACGTGACAGCACCAAATGGGAAGGTCACGTGAAGAATGGAAAGCAGATTGAAACGTGCCCCACGTTTCTCACGCACAAATGATGCATGAAACATACTCACAAATACAGATGCACACGAATAAGCATCTCAGTTGTTCCTTCGCTGTGTCTGAAAAGCACGTGCTTTTCACAAACACAGACTGCGATGATAGTAGTGACCTTTGTGCGCTCAGTAACTACAACGGAATCTTTCCACGCAAAACCCGAGGCCAGCCAAGACATACGATCTACCCCACTGAGAGATAAGTGTGGGCAAGGGAGCGTTGCTCTCTGCTCTAAATGGGGCTAAGTACGCGTGGGAGATGAGAGCGCGCGCCGCTGCGAGACGTGGTGACGCATGCTCATTGCGCCATCTTGCTGGTAATGCTGAAAACACGATGATACCCCCCCCCCCCCCCTCGATATGCCCGTCCGCAGCGGTAAGTGGTAGATATAAGTAGCTTTCCATTTGAACGTTGAAGGACGCGCTCCTCGGTGGCTCAGTGGCTAACGCCTCGCACCCACGATTCAGAGGACCTAAGTTTGATTCCGCACGCCGGAGTCTCTTTCTGGATTTCCTTTCTTTCTTGAATTTTCATATATATTGCCACTTGGCCACTAGGTACGGCAAGCGCAAGCCATGGCTGCCCGATAGAATGGAAGACGATGTTCTGAAGCAGCGTGCACTCTGGTTAGTTGTTGATTACTGAAGCAGCCATCTTGCCAGTTTTTGGTTTTTGGTGCGTCTCCCCGCCGGCTCAGTTCTTTCGAGTTGAAGACCTTTTGTAGCACGTGACAACTGGTGGAGCCGCTGGGTAACCCCCAGCCGATGTTCCAAACGCTTCCTGGTAGCCCTGTACCTGCTGTGACAACACCTGTTCACCGCTCAAGCCGAAGACTCTGAGGACTACCTCATGAGCGTGGACATCTTCCCGAGATGACGTCTGTCACACCCCCGAACGCTAGGATAGACGCTGCAGCCTCCAACGCACCGGAAAGCGCTGCAGCACGCCTCATACGCTGTGGAAGCCACGTGTGCCAAAGGTGTTCCACGGTTCCGTCTTGAAGGATGTCGAAGACTGGCTGGCTCAGTTCGAACGGGTCACCGATTACAATGGTTGGACCGACTTTGACAAGATGAAAAACGTGTATTTGAGCTTGGAGGATGGCGCTCGTACTTGGTACAAAAACTGTGAGCCTTTTCCCTCGTGGAGCATCTTTTTTCAATGCTTGCTGGCAAGTTGGGCCAATCTTGATCTCCGTGAACGAGCCACGCGAGCGATTCAGTCGCGCCTCCAAATGCCGAATGAAAGTGTCATGATGTACGTCGAGGACATGACGAGCCTCTTTCGTCGAGCCGACTCCGACATGGCGGAAGAAAAGAAGGTCCGTCATTTAATGCGAGGAGTGAAAGAGCAGCTTTTCACTGGCCTCGTTCGCTGTCCCCCAAAGACAGTGGCAAAATTTCGACCGAAGCCACAACCATGGAACAAGTGCTGCAGCAGCGCTCTACTTAGTACGACCGGCAAGTGAGTGTCGCTTCGTCAGTAGGTTAGATCGGAGGTTCAGGAAGCAGCATCAACATCGAGTCTCGATGCGACCTCATTTGATTGGTGGTGCGCGACGAACTACAAAAGATTCAGTGCCAGTCCCAACCTACGGCAGGGTCTATTTGCAGCCTCGTCAGAAACAAAGTACGACAGGCTCTTCAAGTGCCATCTTCCAGTTATGTCCCGCCTGTCCCGACGGAGCCACATCGTGCATCATACGCAGAAGCTGCCAGTCGATATATTCCTGCTTCCCCGCACTTCGTTAATCCTATGCCTCAGGATGCGATTCTTTCGCTGCAGCCAATTCAGCACTAAGAAAATAGACAGCCGCTTCCCAGAAGATCTGATGTATGGCGCACACCAGACAGACGACCACTGTGTTATCACTGTGGTGAACCTGGACATGTGTACTGGGAATGTCCCTATCGTCGCCTCGGATTTCAGGGTTTTGCCGTTGACTCGCCACGGCCGACATTCGGCGAAAGACCGAAAGCTATTGAAAAATACCTTTCACAACAACGCATGCCACTGCGGCAGCAGTCGCGATCTCCATCCCCAAGGCCATCTTCTGCAAATTTTCGGAGCCTCCCAGGGGCGGCGCCGGTGCGCTCGCCATGCCCTAGGCGAGAAAACTAACGACAGCGACCTTCGGTAGCGAGGCCGTTGACACTCGACGCAAGCAAGGCCTCCCACCGACGCAAGCACGGACCCGGAGCGATTGCCCGACGACAGCGACGAAAGCCAGAAGCAGATTTTCTTTGGATATACATGTGGTAGTCGACGGTCACCACGACGTTAGTGCATTATTGGACACAGGTGCGGACTATTCGATCATGAGCAGAAAACTAGCAGCGCACATAAAGAAAGTTGTTACGCCTTGGTACGAAGCTCAAATTCGTACTGCCCGCGGGCACATAGCCACTCCAATCGGCATGTGCACTATTAGAGTGAGCATTCGGCGACGTACGTTTCTCGCCAGCTGCCTCGTACTTCGTGACTGTTCCCGAGACCTAATCCTGGGAGTCGACGTTTTGCGGGAGCACGGCGCTATTATCGATCTTCGAGAGCGTACCGTGACGTTTTCGACAGCTGGATCCTCTGACAAATCTGACGACATCTGTGACAGCACGTTTCGCGTTTCTGCCAACAGCATCATGGTGCCTCCGCGTTCAAGCGTCCTAGTTGATGTGGTGTCTGACAAGTTACGGGATGGTGAGGTTGTCGCCGAAGGCAACTTGGCGCTTTTGTTCGCGCTAGGTGTCTGCGCTGCATGCAGCCTCGTCACCCTTTATGACGGGCACTGTGCCTTACTTGTGACTAATTTCAGTAACGAGTACCGACACTTGTTTCGTGATACCGCCATCGCTTTCGCCTACCCCATCGCAGACCTTTCTGAATGCTTCGCACCTACATCAGCCGACGATGGGCTTCGACCGACACCAAGCTACGTGACTTCCCTAGCCAAAGTTGATGTCAACTCGACCCTCTCCGAACAACAACAGACTGAGCTATGTGAACTGGTATATCAATTTAAAGAGTGCTTCGCGTCCACCTCAAAGGTTCGTCAGACACCGATCACCAAGCACCGAATATTTACGTATACCGATGCCTCACCCATAAAACAACACCCTTACCGCGTTTCGGCAATGGAACGTGACGTCATAAATGCTCAAGTCGAAGAGATGTTGCAAGATGACGTTACCCAACCTTCGAAGAGTGCCTCGTCATCTCCGGTCGTGCTCGTGAAAAAAAAAGATGGATCGCTGCGCTTCTGCGTGGACTACAGAAAACTTAACAGCGTGACTAAAAAAGACATCTATCCGCTGCCTCGCATCGATGATTCCCTCCACAGACTGCGGCGGGCCAAGTATTTTTCATCGATAGACTTGACAAGTGGTTACTGGCAGATCGAAGTTGATGAACGAGATAGTGAAAAAACTGCCTTTGTTACACCGGATTGCCTATATGAATTCAAAGTGCTTCCCTTCGGCCTCTGTTCTGCACCTGCGACATTCCAGAGAATGATGGACACTGTTCTTACCGGTTTAAAGTGGCACACGTGCCTAGTTTATCTGGATGATGTCGTGTTTTCTGCCACCTTTCAGGAGAACCTGAAGCGTCTGCAGAATGTGCTGGAAGTGCTCCGCTCTGCAAACCCGATACTGAAGCCGGAAAAAGGCCACTTCGGTTACAAGGCACTTAAGTTTCTCGGCCATGTTGTCAGTGCGGATGGTATTCGACCAAACCCTGACAAAAGTATCACCGTGGCCTCGTTTTTTGTGCCACGTGATAAAAAGGCAGTACGTCGCTTTCTAGGGCTCTGAGCATACTATCGCCACTTTATAGCCAACTTTTCTAGGATTGCTGAACCGCTCACTCGACTCACTCGTGAAGATGTTCCATTCGTCAGGGAGGAAGACCAGGACGCAGCTTTCTCTGAACTACGGGAGTGTTTGCAGACACCTCCAGTCCTCGCTCACTTTGATCAAGACGCTGATACTGAAATTCATACTGACGCCAGCAACGTGGGTCTTGGTGCTGTCCTCGTCCAACTACAAAAGGGCACAGAGCGAGTGATAGCGTACTCTAGCCGCCCTCTTTCCCACGCCGAGGTCAACTACTCCACGCCAAAAAAAGAGTGCCTCGCTGTTGTATGGGCCACGATGAAATTTAGGCCTTACCTTTACAGACGCCACTTCAAGGTAGTGACCGACCATTATTCGTTGTGTTGGTTAGCCAACCTACAGGACCCGTGTGGGCGACTGGCACGATGGAGTCTTTGTCTGCAGGAATACGATTTCACGATCGCTTACAAATCGGGTTGCAAGCACGAAGATGCTGATTCATTGTCCCGTGCACCTGTCGAAGGTTGTGGCCACGACATCGAGGATGATGGTGGTTTCCTTGGGGCCCTTACTACAACGGATCTGATTACACGACAGCGCGCGAACGACGAAATTCGCGCAGTTATCGAAAACCTTGAAGGACGCAACTCTTCTATACCTCAATGTATTTCTCGAGGTCTGTCGTCGTTCTGTCTGCGAGATGGGGTCCTGTATAAGAAAAACTCCAAAGGCAATGAGAGAACCTATCTTCTAGTTGTGCCAACTGACATGCGTGACGACATTCTTCTCGCCTGCCACGATGAGCCCACATCTGGTCACTTAGGTTCCTCTCGAACTCTCGCTCGAGTCCGACAAGCGTACTACTGGCCTAAGCTTTCTGCATCCGTAAAGCGATATGTGAAAAGATGCCGGGAATGTCAACGTCGCGAATCCCCGCCACTGAACCCCGCGGGGCTTCTTCAACCACTAGAACAACCTAGAGCGCCATTCGATCAAATAGGAATGGATTTACTGGGGCCCTTTCCGCTATCATCTGCCGGCAACAAGTGGATCGTAGTAGCCACCGACTATTTGACGAGTACGCCGAAACAAAAGCACTACAACGCGCTACGGCTTCCGACGTCGCCCAATTTTTTATGGACCAGATCGGTCTTCGACATGGCGCCCCGTCGTGCACCATGTAAAAGACAGAGGAACAGCATTCACGGTCCAACTCATTCATGACATATTCAAGCTCAGCTACACGAGCCATCGCAAGACCACGGCATATCATCCGCAGAGCAACGGCTTGACAGAGAGACTCAACAAGACCATCGCTGACATGTTATCGATGTACGTAGATGTCCAGCATAAGGCCTGGGACCAGGTGCTACTGTACGTCACATTCGCGTACAATACTGCCATCCAGGAAACTATGCGATTCACGCCTTTCCGTCTTGTATATGGATGTGAGGTCCAGACCATGCTGGACGCGATGCTTCCACATAATTGCGACGGTTTGATCACTCCTGACGCTGTGCAGCTTACCTAATACGCCAAAGAAGCACGCCAGTTAGCACGCCTACACATTACGCACCAGCAGAGCCCAGACGCATGCTGCTACAATGCTCGCCATCGACAAAATGAATACCGTCCAGGCGATCAAGATTGGGTGTGGACTCCAGTCCGACGCCAGGGATTGTCAGAAAAACTGCTGAGTCGCTACTTCAGACCGTACAAAGTGTTGCGACGCGTGAGCGATGTGAACTACGAGGTAGTCCCTGACGGCGCCTTTTCGCCACAGCGGCGAAGGCACTCCTCGGAGATTGCGCACGTAGTGCGACTGAAGCCGTACTTCACGCAGTAGTGCCACTGCGCATGAACCTTATTGCTGTTTTTTCATGCGTGTATTTTCTGATGGTTCGACCCAACTTTGCCTTTGTGCTTTCTGAGCATCAGAGTGATGCCCATTTGTTTTGTTTTTTTCAGAGGGGGAATAATGCTACTTGGCCGCTAGGTACAGCGAGCGCAAGCCATGGCTGCCCGATAGAATAGACGACGTTCTGAAGCAGCGCGTGCTCTGGTTAGTTGTTGATTATTGAAGCAGCCATCTTGCCAGTTTTCAGTACGTCTGCCCCCTGGCTCAGTTCTTTCGAGTTGAAGACCTTTTGTAGCACGTGCAATATAGATTCGTATACATATACACTCCAGCCTCGTTATAACAAACTTGCATCTTACATAAAAATAAGTTCGTTATATCCAAAAATTTGTTGTAAAGCTTTATTCTTAACACTAAATATATTGTGAGACTATTTTTCTAGTTACATCTGAATTTGTTATATCAACGTTTGAGAGCACAATGATTGGCACTGACGTCAACGGCAATATCCAGCCGAGTGTGTCTATATAATTGCTATCGCAATAAAAGTGGACAGGAAGGGTTTCTATCCCTCCTACTTCTTTCATTCATTGTCAAAAACATCACGCACCGCACGCATCTACAATTGTGAACAAGAACTAGCCCACAGCACTCACTTGATGAAGTAGGGCTCTCCGTCCTCAGTGTAGGCCTTCTCCCAGCAGGCGGGAAGCGGCTCCAGCTCGAAGGCCCCGGGGCTGGCATCTCGGGGAGGACCGGCCCCGTTGGGCTGCTGCAGCAGCCCACCCTGGGACGTTGACGGGGCCGGCTCCTGGGACTTGGCCGTCATGGCCTCCACATTGGAGCGGTTCCTGCGCCGCTTGCCTTCCGAGGACGGGTGTGCCCCGGGCAGCAGCAGGCCTTCCTCCTGCGGCTTGGGCGTGCCGTAGTGGTTGCCTGCTCACACCGCGAGCGCACCTCGGTCACGACACTGAGCTCAGAATACCACACGTCAAATTACGGGGCTTAGCCTCTCGGAGAAAGCAGAAGCTTAGGGGACGATGCAAGCTTGAAGAGATGAAACTTATGTGAGCACGGTGTGCCGCAGTAGTCAACGTTGTGCCAAGTGGACTTGTCTTTTTCAAGGCTGAAACTGCCTACCTTAGTATGTGTAGGTAACATAGGCAGTTGCAGCCTCGGAGAAGACAACCCCGCTTGCCGAAACGCTGGCTGCTGCAGCACACCGTGCCATGTTCATAAATTTTTCACCTTTCATCGTCCCTAAACAACACACATCGTGGCCACGTTCATGATCGAGTTTGTACTATGCCAGATATGTGCATAGGAGGAGACGCCGGGCAACTGTAACCATTGCATATACTATTATGCATGCAGGCTGTCCAACAGCAAAGAGCACTTACAAACAAAAATGCCTACGAGTGTTTAAGCTTGTTACAAGTAGTCATGGGCATGCATAGGGTCCCATATCAGGGAGAGCACCACAGCCTGAGAGTGCTGCACCCCTTCAACGTGCCGACGCCAGTTTTGTCAGAAAACAAAAACAAGAAAAGCTCACTTGCACAGACAGTACGATCCAGTTCCAATAAAACAAAAATATTAAAACAGCAAGAACTTTTCAGCGCAAAGTAAATGACAAATAAAAACACAAAAGAAACACCCTCCCTGCTGTTTTGTTTATAGTTCGTTTTATGTATAGTTCATTTATATTGCACTGCAAAGTTTCTGCAGTTATGGACCAATACCAACTGCCTCAAACCAAGATTCTGTTAAATGTACTCTGATATTTCACTGCTGTGGCAATGCTGCACACAAGAACTAGAGCCAAGGGCTTCGCTAAACACTTTTTTCATGGATTTTCCTTATCATAATAACTAACATATATATAAGCTTCCATGTAAAGCTTACTAGATTAAAAATGTTGCACAAGTGAATTTGTACCATCTCTCTTATCCCTTCAGTCTACGTGGAAGAGGTGGCATGCCTATGCATGTAGGGCTCTGACATGCCCCTACATCTTCATACACAATCGTTTGACATTCCAGCCCAATTGGCGTCCTAACACTCCTACCTCAAATGAAACCAGAAGTCCTGAACTCTGCAACTGAAAATTCATCTAGCCAGTCCAATTTATGACCAAGAAGGCAAACACCACAGCAATGTTTGAAGCTTGAAAAGGCACTGTACTAGAAGTCTACTAATAAATTTGAACGATTTTACATCATTAAAACATATACTTACACATGAATATACCCACACATTCTACATCCATTAAAACACAGCCGCCATACATAATGATAAAAGCTACAATAATGCGGCTACAATCTTGAAGCCATGAAGCTCCTATAAAAGCAGCTGTTTGATACATCTCCTTTCTTGTAGTGGTGGTCCAAAGTCTAGTTTAGACATACAAAAATAAAGGAAATTGGAGGAAGGGCTTCAACAGAATAACCACTATGGCATCAACCAACGAAGAATGCACATTTACTGTGAGTGCCTAAATGAACAAACAATCACTGATAACACTTCCATTCCGAACCTGAAGCATGGTTCTGGTCAATATGAAAAATTTTAAACATAAGCACAATAAAGCTTGACATGAAAATGCTGACAAACGTAACACTGTGAAACCAACCATTTCTTTAAATACCGCACTTTGACACAACAAATTGCACCAATGAATGAACTACTCAATTATTAGCTGCAATACTGAAAAAAATAAATAAATTCAACACATCAGTGAATGCACTGATGACAATTTAATCAATAATGAGCCGAATCGCTAGGCATTCCAGACAGCAGGAAAGGAGCCGTGCAGGTAAGTTAAGACTGTGAAACCCACTACTGCACATTCTCTAGAAGAGTAGAAGAGATAAAACAAGACATGTAAAGGAAGAACAATTACATGCTTGGAGTGTGATGTATCCACTTGCCTTCATATATCCCACTTTCCAAGAGGCTCCCACTCCTTTCAAGGGCCACAAACTCCTCTATCGTCAGGAAAGTATAGTCCACACCATTCACTTCTCCCTCCCGGGGACTTCGTGTCGTGCCTGCAATGACAGAAAACATAAGCATACGCCGAAGTGCTGATTGGGCACCACAGTTGGTAATTGCGATCTTTGATCGAGCTTGGTAGGTTCACAGCCTAAGACCACTTCATTTATTATTAAAGCGTCCCTTTTGCTCCTTATCTTGAGGTCCTAATTGTTCCTAGATGCCTCCTTTTTCTTTGCCAGTAACACAGTAGTGAATCACCATTCCTACTGTTTAACACCCGAATGCAGAAAGCAATTAGCACACCCAGACTGCAAACATGTATTTTGTAGAAGGAGCAATTAGTTTCCCTTGGATCATGAATTTCGTTCTTTTGATACCGGTATAACCTCACCTAGTCACAATCAGTTTGTTGCCATTGCAAATAAACGTTTAATGTAGCTGCACGGGGAATTACACAGATCATTTTCATCAGCTGTTTGCTCGCTATCAACTGCGCACATCAACTGCTGTAGCCCCAGTGAAATCGGAGAGAGCAAAGCGCTTTATATTTTGATTTGTTTCTGGAGTCGGTTTCCACCAGGACTGCAGCATCGTACATCAACGGTTACTGCTGGCAGGAGTGAGGTATCGCTCGAGAATGTAGTCATTGTGTGAAACTTAGAAATCGTAATGTGTTCAATGCTTGCTAGAGCTGCAAAAGAGACGGCAATTTGTGAATCAGTTTCACTTTCTGTGGTGCTCAACACTGCTGTTGCGCTGTCAAATGGTCTATGCAAGAAGCAGCTTTCATTAGTGCATCGTACTTGACATTCCTACATCAGGGAAAAACTATTCATTTCTCTACGGCAATACACCGAATTTCCCCGTGCTGTCAATAAGAACTGCTGCTGCTGCAGTTTTGACTGCCTGCCGTTATTCTGTTCAGACATTTCGTTTAAGTGTGTGCATGTTCCATTTGACATTCCTGCATGTGCCTTGTCGCTGTCCTGCTCACATGGGATCAGTCTCGGTGTCATCCCTCGAACTCTCGGCAGCCTAACATCACACGTAACGACACATAGCGCGTCACTTCTTCGCGGGAGCTTATGTTTGAAGTCCATCCATTTGGAGCTTATCGTTTTCTGATGCATTTTGACCTCTCCGCCGTCCACGTGTCATCTGCTGAATTGTGCGACACCAAATCTGTCAGACAATTGGATTCCTGCTTGCAGCAGGAAAGCCACCACGTGCTGCAGCGTTCCAGTAGAGCTAAGTGCAAGCTGCCTTTTAATTGGAAGCAGACAAAACTACATTAACATGTCACTGGGTAAGTGAAATAACAAAGCTTATGCTAATTTCTGTCATCCACTTTTACTTTGACTTTAGAAGTTCATTAGCTTCTGGTTGCAACTGTCCACCTCCAAAATTCTTTTTTGCATTTACCTCAGGAGAAGACAAGAAAAGAAGTGTGTAGGTGAAATTGAGCTTTAAATATTCTGCCTAAGAAATATTCTCTAGTCAGATTCGCATTATTGCCACGCTGTGTTGGTGGCATAAGAAGAGAGCGAAGAAGTGAGTGGCTGCTTCAATGGATATCAGCAGACCCTGGTTCACTGGCGTTTTGGTTGCTTCTGGTTCAGTACAGGCATAAGACCTAGCAGTACAGTACCCAGCACGTCCACCAGTCTGTCGCTAGAGGAAACAATAGACAGGAACTCGAGTGAATGACTGTTTACTCAGCCACAGCAGCCACTCACTTCTTCGCTTTCTTCTTCTGCCACCAACACAGAGTGGCAATATTAACTAGTACGAAACTTTCTTGCCACTGGACAGCGCCTCACGGTAATTTCACATGTTCACGTAGCCAGCTTAATAACAGTACGGCTTTCCTAAACTTTCTATGCCAACTATGCATAATATAAAAAATTTGCACGAACACAACGAAGACACAAGTCGAGAAGGACACACCATGTACGCTGTCTAACAACTAAAGTTGATTGAAACAAAGACACAAAACTCGCAGAAGTGTTCATCAAAATGAAAGGTGACGACTGCACGTCGGAACCTTCTCTTGATTTTCTAGATTGCGAGCAACATGCATTTCAACACGCGTTGCTTTTCATGCGTTGGTTCTCTTGTTTCAATAAACTTCAGTTGTTATACAGCGCTCGTACTGTGTCCTTCTCGTCTTGTGTCTCAGTCGTGTTCCCGCCAAGGTTTTCACGCATGCTCCTGTCCTTACGCACATGACTTTATCTTATTGCCAATCTCATGATGCACAGTAATTCCGCGGTAGAAGCAGTTGTACATGTAAACAAAGTGCCCACAGATATCTGCCAAGGGCTCCTTTACCATTGTTCATGCACACAACTTCCTGAAATCTCCCATGCTCTTTTACTGGCGTCAGGCCCCACAGGCTTAATAGATTTTTTTACTTGCTATGCGCAGTGACCAGTTTTGCTTAAAAATGAAACAGGCGATAAACAGCAACCTTAAACAAGATGCTGGTGCACACAGCATTAAAGGTGTTTCACTATTTAGCAAACATACTTCATTTTGTGGTCTACGGCAATGAGGATTCATGCCCCCACAATCAACAATGAATAAGTACATATTACCTTGTGTCATTAGCATTGTTTTAGCCTATAGAGAACAGCAGCCCATTCCTGGAGAAACAGTAAATGAATCTTATGGCATACAAACGTTGGCCATCTTTGGCAATAAATTGACTCCAGTCTGCAAAAGCGAGTAGGCAATCCATATGATTGTTTCGTGTGCCAATAAACGCCTCTGCGTGTACTCGAAGTCAAAGAGCCAATAAGCACAATCTGGCACAATACAGTCCTATGCATACATCTTTAAGTTATGTCCAGCTGGTCACATCGGTGAATACAACTACTTTACTAATGCCGTGCAAAGCAGTGTCAAAGACTGTTTACCGGGGCTTTGCTACAGCTATCTGCACTTTCACAGTAGAGCTTGCTGAAGACGTTTGCCCAACTAGTGAACAGTTTTTTAATGCCTTAATCAAAATAGTCTAATGTGCATTTAAGCATAACTGCATATTAATAAGAACTACAATGGCCTTGAACAAATGTAGCTAGACATTGCTCGTAGTGGAAATATTCTGACGACCAGTGCTGACTTGTTGCCCGGGCCCGACTGGAGCTCTAGCCCGAGGGTTCCTTGAATATGGGGCGCTCCCACTTTCTCTAACTAGCCACTCATCAATAAATGTTTTTCTCTTTGTCTCGAGTAATTTAACAAATTGATAATTTGTTATTGAGAACTAAACATGCTAAAATGTGCGGCTTGCACCAAATGATTCAGCAACACGCTAGCGCCAACTCAAATGCAAAACATCAGAACTTATACAGACCGTTCGCTGATCCATAAAAACTTCATTAAAACATGCAAACAACAAGCTCCGATGGCAGACAAACACTGAAGGATGTCGGCTTGGTTCGTTTCGCAACATGAACGATGCTTCGCGGCAGCACACATCAATGCCCAATGTAAGCATAAAATACCGTTCTGAATAAGGGCACTATGCTTAGCTTCATCTTCAAGCAGGACACACACCCACACGAAGACAAATAGAACTGAAAACATGAGTGCTGTGTTGTCAGTTCTTGTTTGCGTATTTGAGCATGTGCACCGTTTGGCGATGAAGTTATACCAACTAGCTTAAATTGCCACACTGCCCTATGCTTACATCACTTTCGAGGAAGCCTATGTACAGCAGAAAAAAAAAAAAGACATTCATCTTACAAGGCACCGTGCGCAGGTAGAGGTTGTCCCTAATGGTGTTCTGGAGATCATGGTCGATGGAACCTTTCTGGAACCTGGTGTTCAGGAACTGCCTCAAGTCCTTGGTAAGGTGGCCTGCAAGGTGCGATCGCCAAGGACGTTTCGGCTTAGTTTTCGAGCGCGCCGTCATTGCCAGCTCAGGCGAGTCACAGCAACGAATCAATCAACGAAACCGCCGTCTCGAGACCAGCGGACGGGGTTTTTGAGGTTCTGACGGGCCGTGCAACGCTCGACACGTACGTTTTCGACACACAAGTGCTCGTGAAAGCAAACATGGAGTGCGATCCAAGTAGCTAGTTACGACGGACTTCCTCACACAGCCCGCCAAGCAAGCATGTGTGCCACATTCGTGAAGCGAAGCGCTTGTGCGGCACAAAAAACCAGGTTTCGATGGGGTCGCCACCGGAAACATTTCCCCTCCCGTATCACTCGAGAAATAGGGCCCGCTAGACAGATCGCTTATCGTCTGCTTGGCATTACTTTCTCGCGCACTTCCTCAAGCCGCGCCTACAACAAGCGGCTTCCGAGCGCGCACATATACACTTCTCTGTTTGTTTACTGCTGCCGTTTCTCTTCTAAATGCTGTTTTGACCTTTAGTGCGCCATTACAAGCGCCGCGACATTCCAAACAGTCAACCGCTTAGATCATCACCCAAAGAAGGCGTGGAAAGAACGTCGATTAAACGTCCAGCACGTTAGGAAATACGAGATGGTTTAGCGAGCAAACTGCCGACACGTTTTTATTATTTCCTCCCCCGAGGTACTCACCTGCTCTGACGCATCGCACAGACACGGCACTGTCGTTTCGTGCGCTGTAATTGAGTAGCGACAGCACGTCGTTTCGCGTGTAACCGGCCACACGATGTCCTTGGATCTCCAAGATCGTGTCACCGTCTTCGATTCGGCCGCTCAGGAAATTCACTTTATCGAAATTAACACAACTAAAATAAGCGAATTCGCCTCGGTCGGAGCCACCGTCGACGGTCAAGTTCAAATTCCCGTTGTCATCGGCGGTCAGCACCGCGTCGTAGATCGCCTGGCTCCACGAGCTGTACTCCTTTCTGACTTGGTTCGGGCCCGTGTGCGACTTGGACTCCTGCTTCGACATCATTTCGACGGCGGTGACGGCGCGTGTTCGTAGTAGTATTTCTCCGGGGCACAACACGGCGAGGCGCTAGGCCTAATGTCGAAACAGGCACCGTCTTCGCGTCTCATGCTCTCCGACGTGCACACACATCAAAACCAAGCACCGGTGCTGTCGCCGGACAACGCGCTGGTCTCTCGGCCATCCAGTCGCGTGCGATATTCATCCGATTCCCAGTGGCACCGACCAAAAAAGAAAGAATTCCATCACTTGAAGTCGACATAAACAAACCGGACACTCAGATTTTCCCGTCCGGAAAAAGCAGGCGCGCCGCTTCTGCGCATGCGCCGTAGCGTTTTCCGTCCCGTTCCGCCGCCGTCGGCTCCCGTGTACTCGTGTTCGGCGATGTGCGGGGGCGTGTGTAGGGGGTTTATTTCGCACCGTTTCGTGTCGCGGCTACGGCGAAAGGAAAGAGGATGCGGTGGCGGGGTCGACAATGACATCGTTTCTCCGGTTTGACATTTGAACGCGCCGCTTTCCCGCAGCGAGGAACGCGCGCCACGTCGTAAAATTACGCCGACGGACGAACGGGCGTCTCGAAGCGCGCCGTACTAACTACGCTCCGTCGCCCGGTCAGCAGTGCCATTCGCGGTCCTTGACCTCATACCGCGTGCGAGATTTTTATAACCGCGTCGCATTTTCGCCCCGACCCGATGTAGGCGGTCAAGGCGACGACAAAATGACTCCTGGGGTCGCACGGCGAGGCGCATAAAGATTATAGTGAGCGGACAATTCGGCTGCGTCGCGCTCTACTTACGCTGGCCATGGCCCGTCTCTTTCCTCATCCCGTAAGCGACGTCGGTGCGTTTATATAATGATGACGTAGCAAGTTTATGTAAGCGGCTATATATACAGCCATTGTTGTATTTTAGGGTGTTCACGACACTGCCACAGCAGCCACTGCAGAGGACGCCGTGATTCGTTATAAGCGATATTCGTTGAATAGAAACCCACCGACAAGTCCATTTCACGGCGTGAGACGTTGTGAACATGTGACAACATTTGCTGGTTTCGCACTACACAACGACAATACCCGCTCTCCGGATTGCCACCTTAGTTATATTCAGAACCCGGTCTTCAATACGTGCCACTCCGAGGGAGCTGTTGCGGTTTCTAGGAGAAGCGCGACTGAATGGAAAACTGTGACCACTGTGGTGTGGTGTGTAGTAGTTGAACGATGCTCTACCCAGTGTACTAGAGTCTAGTTGAAGTTGTGCCGTGTCAAGAACTCTACTTACACCCCAAGAAAAAGAGTGTTTTCAAGTAACAATACACATATACAGTAGTGTTGCTACCAACTAACACCCTTATTTTCGGGGTGTTTTGAATAACCTAAACACCCTTATCACTGAAAAAAAAACGTGACAAATGAAATGTATCAGTCAGGGAACATGCAATTACAGATTACATCAGCCTAGTAGGTCATAGGTGATCAACTGTCATTTTGGGCTATTCCGTGGAACAAGAAGAAAATCGCGGGGAGGGTGGGGGGAGGGGGGGTCAGTGTGCTATTTCCTGGCTGCGCCACTGCCATTATGTGCGGGTGTAAATATTCCTGTTCAGTATAATTGAACATTAAATATTAAGATAATAGGCGTACACTTATGATATCCTTTTAGATGGGCCTAAAAGAAACATATATTTTAATTTAAAGTCACCTAAGATCCAGCGACCGTCAGCGAGTTCCTGTTACGGCGTGCTGTAGAGTGGGCCATGGGTGTTTCGATAACACATAAAACCCTTAACTCCTATAGTGTGTGTCAGAACATCACCCCTTGAAGGCTATTAGGAGAACAAAAAAAAAAACACCCTTACATTATAATATTTCAAAATTCTGGTTAGACAAAAGGGTGTCTTGCTTGCTCGAAACCGTCATAAGGGTGCAAAGTGGCTTACAGTGTATTCGTGACTGTTTTGTTTGTTTCGTCGCCTACTGTCGTCGTCTTCTTTCATTTCCCTGTTCTAAGTGCAGGGTAACAAACCGGAGGCTTCCTGCGATTAACCACACTGTCTTTCTTTTATCTCTCTCTATCTCGAGCAGATGACGAAAATTCGACGCGTATAGGGGGCCCTCTGGCACACAGCTTGGACAGTGGCAACACATGCGATTGTGGCGTTGACTGCAGAACCTAAAAAGCCCGACCGACCGACCTCAGACTGCCGCCAGGTCTGGGAACTTGACTCGATGCCAATGCCGCGCTACCTTTTTTTTTCTTTTTTTTTTCTTCATCGCCGTTTCCGACACGCCCGTGGCTCGCGATCGCAGGGCAACCAGGACCAACGAAGGGACGAGTCATTCGATTCCCAAGCTTTTGCTTGGCTTCCCGTAACGCAGGAAGCTGTCAGAAGTCTACGAGGCGTGACGCGACGCGCTGTCTGCTGACGAACCTCGATCGCGGGCTGGGTGGGCCCGGTATTCGGGCTGTTTACACGCACCGTGCGTTTCCACGGGATACGCGCGCGACGCCCAAATGTCCCTGCTCTCAATCAACCTGCCAGCGCCAATAGAGCTATAGTTAACACTCTACGACTACGTGGTTCAAAGAACAGAAGAGAACTGAGTTAGCGTATACAGTGGTAGGCAGTAGCACAGCCATTATTTTTTTTTTCAGGAGGTAGGAGAATGGTATCAACAATACTTTGTGTATGTTCGTGTGCGTACGTTCGTATGCCAGTGTGCAAGAAAAACTGAAGAAAATTCGGGGTGGGAGGTTAAACGTCCCAACCTCCCCCTACCCCACTTCCCTGGCTACGCCCATGGTGGTAGGTCAATAATTCTGGAGGAATCACAAGTTCATAACTAGTTGAGAAAACAAGCACCAAACATCCCTATCTTGAATTTCGCGCCAAAACCTGAGCGCCAGTACGTGATCGCGACGTCAAGCACTTGTCGGGATCATAGAGTTTCCTAAAATTATGAATGGGATGTTTTCGGACGCATGAAAAGTGAAGAAAATACCGCATGTACCAGCTAACTAAGGAGGTTTAAAGGTGCGACTTTGACCAAGATTAAAACAAAGATAAACGCGCTTTAAAAAAGCGGTAAACGAGCTGTATATGATGTATAACTGCGGCAGCCATCATTACATCCATCCTCTAATTCTTTCTTCACTAAGGACTGATTATTTAGTTCACTTTAATTAGCTATTTTAAGTTACTGTTTGAAATGGTAACATTTAACTCGAAGTTGTAAAACCATTCATGTAACTTCAGAACCTAAAATTTATTTTGTTCTGAAATCTGCCGTTTTGTTTTCCCCGAGAAAAACAAAGGCGCAAAAAGCACTTAATATCAAATGGACACGCACCCTTTCCCAAACGCTTCCAAGCGTCCTTTCGTTGAAACTCGCCCATATTGTACACGTCTGCATTCGTTCATATTCTTCTCGCACTCAGATGGATGCGTCAGCGGCATATTGTCACGCTGCGTCCATTCAAACCTGCGGAATCCTCTTCAATTCGGCAACTTAGTAAATGAATGAATGCTGCTATACGACATGATATACTAACAAAAAAAAAAAACGTGTGCAAACGATTCAGTGCACTGTAAGTAAAATCAGAGCTAATCTCTGGCGCTGATTTTCAGAAATAATACAATGTCTGCGTAGATGAGAGCGTAGATAAATTAAACTTGCGGCGGCGGTGCCCATTCCAGACGCGGGGAAGTACAAAACAAAAATCCTCACGACGCCCCACAGCTATAGATGTAAATGAGCCGATTGACCGTCTCACCTCGTGTGTTGAGAAAGTTCAAGAGTAGATGAATGATTCGGTCATCTTCATACAGCAGCCGAAACATCGCACGTTATGATTCATGTCATCTTGTACATAAATTCCGTGACCATATCTGCTCCAACGCATCTTGAAGCAAGAAAAGTTCTCCAAATGATCATCTTATATCAATAAAGCTCCAGTTTTTCGTACAAGATACCAAACCGAGGTGCTCAACGCTTTAATTACACGTCCAAGAAAACCACAACGGCGTAGTGTTGTTCAGGGTGACGTCAGGGGGAGGCGTTCTACAGACGATGTCTTTCAAGTAAACTTTTTGAAGGCACACTAATCTAATGTCAATACGTGATATATTTGCAAGAACTCTCTATGTATACTAGCAAGTAATGATCGACAGCAAAATATTGGTAGATGCTTGATTGATCAGAATACCTACTTTATTCTCCATAACACTTCATGGTATACATACCTTCTTCGAGGCCAGAAGCGTCTCTTTCGTATTTAGGCACACCAAGAACGGAAGATAGATATAGAAACAGAGCATGCATGCGCACAAATCAGTGCTCTTTACACCACCGGTTGATGTGACTATCTGGACGAGGTAGCAATCTCCATAACCCCTCTTTTACAAAATATATGCACATTTGAAATTTCATTCAACGAAATCGAATTTTACGAAGTTCCTGATCCAACGAACAATGAAGGAATGAATAAAACATGTATTATGGAAATCGTATCGCCTATTATATTCGTGCTATAGCAATGATTGGGAAGGTTTCTATTCCGGGACTCCGTTGGACATAGCTGTCCCCCTCTCCACGAGACTCCGCTGATCATGGAAAGCTATAGGTTGGACAAAATCTCCTCCCACGTAGGCAGCGGAATTTGTCAGGTGCATCTATTAGACTGACACAACCGAAACACGTGAAAAAAAATCAGCCACGTGTGAAACAGTTCACCGCTGCTGTCACAGAAATTAACACACAACTCTAAATTGTTCTGGGTCTTATTTCGCCATAGCGGCCGGGCTGCCACACGACATAAAACAGTTATAGTATACCGGGCTTACCGGTAGGTATACCGTACGTATCTGCGCAGGCTCAGATACGTACGTCACTCGTACCGCTTACCGTACGTAAAATATGGCGGCGCTCTCGGACGCCTGCTTCGAAGTGATTGTGTCCTTGTTAAAAGATTCACTTTGTTCGCAGCAAACGACTGTTTCAAGTGGCTTCGTTTGCCTTCAATTAACTTCGACGACAGATTATTACGAACAAGTTGGCGTAGTTTTTGAGATAGCTTCTCATTTCCAACGTGTCTAGGCCTAACTACAAGATCGATGAAAACAAATCGCCAACATAAATGTTTTCGCGTTTGGTGCGTGGTTCACATTTATTTACTTTTAATATTACTAAAATAAACTTGTGTAACAATGCTAACAAGTAAGTAATTCATTGATATGTGGGGTTTAACGTCCCTAAATCAGCATATGATTATGAGACGCCGTAGTGGAGGGCTCCAGAAATTTAGACCACCTGGGGTTCTTTA